TTAAAATGACCAGTATCTCTTCATTGATTTAACTTTATCTAGTTTTATTGATTTCTCCATTAAAGCTTTCTTCCTCAATACAACCATTTCTGAAAAATAAATCCATAATATGCCACAAAACCACAGATTCAAAGCATGCAGTATAGTATGGAGCACTTAAATAGGAAAATTCTCATCTATAAAAAATCTTTGTGGCAATTGTCTCCCATTTAAGATTTTCCCAAATGACACAGTATTTTCCAAAGAGGCACAAAGAGCAGCACCCCACCTCAAGTCCCACTGCAAGATGTCTTTAGGGCCATTAAGCACAAATGCTTTGCCTGGAAGGACTAGAATGCTATTCTGTTTCCTCTGAATTTTGAGCACTACTGGTTGATTGAATCTCACATAATTAGGGACATGCATATTATAAAGGCAAAGATTTGAATCAAACATAAAATTCCTGTTCTTTTTACTAATTCTCAGATATGTCAACATGCCAATGTGACAAGTAGTTAATATACTTCTCTTTCAAAGTTAATTACAAATAACCAGCCCACAAAAATATATTTTAATGGAAGATACAGATAATGTAAATTCAATCAGGCTTTCACTGATTTTATTTTCTACTGAGAGACAGAAGATAAAATAGACTCATTGATACCAAAAGTCGGGACCTCATAACTGACATTATCCAAAGAAAAATTTAAGGCACATCTCTGTTGAAAAATAAATAAAATCTTTAAAAAAAAAAATGGGGCGCCTGGGTGGCTCAGTCGTTAAGCGTCTGCCTTCGGCTCAGGTCATGATCCCAGGGTCCTGGGATCGAGCCCCGCATCGGGCTCCCTGCTCAGCGGGAAGCCTGCTTCTCCCTCTCTCACTCCCCCTGCTTGTGTTCCCTCTCTCACTGTCTCTCTCTCTCTCTCTGTTGAAAAATAAATCTTTAAAAAAAAAAAAAAGAAAAATTTAAGGCACCTAGACTCCAATAAGTGACATAAAAACATCAGCATTAAGTAAATCTTTTGTAAAAAAATTTTTAAATGAAGTATAATATATCTACATAAAAGTACTCAATGAATTATCATGAAGGCTACTCATAAAATGAGGAACTACATCTAGAAAAAGAATATTTACATATTTTTATACAGAGACCTCTCCCAGTAATCATTGACTCTTTTTTTCCAAGATAACTAACTACTCTCCAGACTTATAATCCATGTATTAGTAGGACCTATTTTTTCCATTTATGTACATGGCATTATATAGTCAGAATTGGCTGCATAATTTGAGAGGCTCAGTGAAAAATGAAAAGGCTGGGGCACTTGTTCAAAATGCACTAAGAATTTCAAGGTGGTGACACTAGAACATTAAGCCAAGTGTGGGCCCTGTACAACTGCACTGGTCGCACACTCAGGAAGCCAACTCGGTATACATCACATATTTTTATATATGTATAGTCTTCTCCTCTCATTTTATTTGTGAAATTCATCATTGTTGTTCTAAATTCTGTGGTCTTGTTTCTTCACTGACATTATAGCATAGTTTGCCATCACGTGAAAATAATTTATCTCTCATCTCTAGGAAAATTTGTGTTGTTTCCAATAAAAGTGATTATGAATATGCTGATATTGTTCAATAATTAAACATTTAGGGGCCCCTGGGTGGTGCAGTGAGTTAAACATTGACTCTTGGTTTAAGCTCAGGTCAGATCTCAGTGTCATAAGATCAAGCCCCCACACTGGGCTCCAAATTCAGTGAGGAGGCTGCTAAAGTTTCTCTCTCCCTCCACCCCTCCCTGTGCTCTCTCTCTCTGTCTGTCAAATAAATGAATAAATCTTTAAAAATAAATAAACATTTCCTTTAAAAATAATTAAAAATTTAAACAATTTAAATACTGTCAGGGTAATTAAAGAAGCCATTAGATTGAGGTCCCTCTAATTCCATAGCAACCTAAATAAGCATAACAAAATCTAAGCATGTAAATACGTCAAGTTTAAGCAATCAAAACCTAAGGACAACCAATCATAAACAGCCAACTAGGCTTTCCCAAAAGAGGGTAATACTTAAGGTATAGTCAATTAAATAAGTTCCTTGTTTTGCCTCCACATCTTCTTTATAAATGTTTTTCCCTATTGCCTATGGGTGGAGTGCTCCTAACCACTTCCAGTTTGGTGATGCCCAATTTAAATCTTTGTTTAATCAAATAAACTCAAAAATTCTAATATTCCTCAAATTATCTTTAACAACAGTCTTGTGCATATCTTTTGGTGGATATTTGCATTCATTTCCATTGGGCTTTTACTACAGAGTGAAATTTCTGTACATAGTGATCCTGTAAATAACATCTACTAAATTCGTATTTAGTAGATATTGCCAAACAGATTTCCATGGCTGTGGAATAAGTTCAAACTCTCATTAAGGTAGTTCCCTTCTATTCCTAATTTGGCAGTTGATTTTATAATGAATTAATTATTTAACTTTATCCTGCTTTTCCTGCAAATGTCGAATTAATCATATTATTTTGTTCATTTATTAATGTTAAAATATCATTCTATATATCAATTTTACACTAAACTTGCATTCTTGGAATTAACCCTAATTGGTCATGATGTATTACCTTTTTTACGTAACACTGTACTTATTTAGCTAAAATATTGCTTAGGATTTTTGAATCTATGTTTATGGATAGAACTGACTAATAAGCCAATTTTCTTGTAACTTCCTTGCCAGGTTTTATAGTAATGTAATCATGTACTCATAAAAAACATTGTATGATGGTCTTCAAGTAAAGAATGTTGTAATGTTTGGTATTTTATTTTGCTTTGTTAATTTAACAAGTGAAACCTTCTGGATCTAGATTTTTATTTTGAGAAAATTTCTGATACAAATTCAATTTCTTTACTAGATATTGGATTACTTGGATTTTTAATTTCTTTTTTAGTCAGTCACAATATGATGTGTTTTTCCTAAAAGTTTGACACTTATGTTCCAGATTTTGGTCTTTCTTTTCCTGACACTTTCCAGGGGTCTATCACTTTTATTAGCTATTTCAAATAACTATCCTTCTGCTTTGTTGAGCCTATCTCAAGTAAATTTAATTTTAATTGTATTAATTGATGCTCATTTTCCCTTTTACTTTATGAAATTAATTAGTTCTACTTTCCCATATGTTTTCAGATATAGGATGAGGTCATTAAATGTATTTTTAATATATGCATTTATAACACAGCTCTACTTATTGCCCACGAGTTTTGATTATCATTTATAATCATTCAATTGCAAATATTTTGTAATTTCTATGATTGTTCTTTGATCTATGAATCATTTCAAATCTTGATTGATTTCTAAACAACTAAGGATTTCAAGTTTCATTTCACTCTTATTTAAGAACATACTCTGAGTGTTCCTTGAAATTTTTTGAGGCTTTGGCTATGGTGCAGTGTATAGTCAATTTTGATAAATAATTCACATGCATTTGAACACAATGTGCATGCTTTTAATGTTGGTTGAATGTCTGTTGTTGTCAGGCTTGCTAATTTTTTCAGGCTTATTTTGTCCTTCATATTTTCTATATTCTTATTGATTATTTCTTTGCTTTATGAACTTTGAAAAAAGCTATGTGAAAAAAAGGTGTTCTAGTTCGAGTAGCTAATATTATGTCCTAAAGGATATAATATTTAATTATTAATTATAGGTTAAATATATATTAAAACAACTATTTAAAACAACTGGAGAGGACCCAAGAGAAGGGAGAAACTAGGGAGGATTCAATCTTTGAATGATGGTAATTTATTGGATTCAATCCAACTTTATATCACCTTTTCTCCTTCAGTCTATATAGTGTAGAGCACTTAAAAAAACAGAAGAAAGATGAGCTTATTGATATATCAAATAACAAAATTCAGAGACCCCAAAGCAGATATAAATTGAGAAACAAAGTCCTAGAATATGAAGAGGATTGTGCCTGACATCTGGATACAAACACCCCTCAAAACTGACTGCCCCATGAACCGTGCTTGGTTTGGTAAGACTACCAGTATTCCAATGGAAAGCAAGTGGTAGAAGGTTTAAAGAGCTGATATTTCTGCTGACCCCTAGTGCAGTAAAAAAAGAGTTTGGAGTTTGAACATCACAAGTTAGAGAGACAAAGTACATATGCTGATCTGTCATTTAAAATTCCAAAAGGTCCATGTTTAGAAGAAAGACTGTGTCCAAGAATTAGGGCATTCATCGAGAGCTAAGACAAAACTGAAACAGTTATCTGACATATCTCCATACAAAAAGGATCAGTTCTTAATTTATCTGCTTTCTAGAACAAAATTAAACACTGTTAAAAGACAGATAACAAAATTCAGTCTTTATAATGTATAATCACTGATGAGCAAAGTAAATCTAAACTTTTTTAACACATGAAGACACAGGAAAATGACAGCCATTGCTCAAGATCAAAGGCAGTCAAACAAAACAAAACAAAATTAAAAAAACAAGCCTGGAGATGACTCCAATATTGAAATTAACAGATAAAAACTTTATATTAGCTGTTGTAAATACAATCAATGACATAAGTGAAACCAGATAAGAATAATTGAATAGAGTTGGAATCTAAACATTGATATGGTAAGGGTAAAAATAATTATGTTGAAATTCTAGAAGGGAATATAACAGTGCTTGAAATGAAAAATTCATTAGATAGGCTTAATAGAAGATGAGAGAGGATGACAAGATGGTCAGTGAAATTGCAGACAGAATAATAGAAATTATCCAATTTAAATAATGGGGAAAAGATTTATTTATTTATTTTTTTAAAGATTTTATTTATTTATTTGAGAGAGAGAGAATGAGAGAGAACACATGAGAGGGGGGAGGGTCAGAGGGAGAAGCAGACTCCCTGCCGAGCAGGGAGCCCAATGTGGGACTCGATCCAGGGACTCCAGGATCATGACCTGAGCCGAAGGCAGTTGCTTAACCAACTGAGCCACCCAGGCGCCCAGAAAAGATTTATTTTAAGTAGTTCTGTTTTTGTGCTCACTTCAGCAGCCCATATACTAAATCTAGAATGATACAAAGATTAAAGATTAGCATGGCCTCTGTGCAGGATGACATGCAAATTCATGAAGCATCCCATATTTTTAAAGAAGAAAGAAAAGAAAGAAAGAAGAAAGAAAGAAAGAAGAAAGAAAGAAAGAAAGAAAGAAAGAAAGAAAGAAAGAAAGAAAGAAAGAAAGAAAGAAAGAAAGAAAGAAAGAAAGAAAAAGAAAGAAAGAAAGAAAGAAAGGTAGGTTGGTTCTGTTTTGACAAGTGAGGCAACATAAAGTGGTCCAACACGCATGTAATAGAAACCAGGAAGTAACTCTTTGTAAACAGACTGATGATTTTTACTACAGAAATATAATGGAGAGTTCTTGCTTTAAAATTGCTTTTTAGGAAAACAAATCTGGTCTGTCCTCATTTCTTATTGAAAAAAATAAAAACAAAGCCAAAATAATAAAATAACAACAACAACACTTGGTTCATGGATTAAGTGGATTTGGAAGAATGGGAAGTAGTCATATAAACCTTTCTGGGTAGCTTTTAACAAAGTATAAAACTGAGGAGAATCAAAATGGAAATGGCTTCCTTTGAGAACAATATTGCTTTATACATCATGGCAACACATATGTTACCCAAACCAAAGTTTCAAAGTGAGTGAAGGAATAGTTCTAACCTCTTTTAGAAAGAAATGCAATGTCTTTGCTTTGTTCTTTCCAGCATCTTTTGGATTATTCATAAAATTTGGTGATTGGTCAGATCCATGATTCATTAAAGTCTGCTTTGAAAGTTCAACCTTTGTGTTAACACAGTTACTTACCCTGAACAGGAGCAATCATGAGAGTCTAATATGACTCACATGGTGATTAGTGTCTGTCATGGAGGAAAACGAGAGAAATTAGAGGTTGAAGAAGTTAAAAATACATTTTGCAATGTGCACATTTATGACTGGTTTTGGTTAAAGAGACCAGCAACATAATATATAGTACTTCATCCTGGGTGAGCTTTAAGAGTTCATCTTCTAAGATAAATATAAAAAAATAATTTGGCTATTGCAACATGTATTTCAAAGATCCCTTTCCCCAGTCATACCTAAATTATCTTACTGGCATTATACAAACAATCTGGCAGTCAGAATCCCAAAGGTAAATAATTTCTATTCCCAAAAATGCATATTATTTATATGTATTTCTTCTAAGGATATCAAAATAGCTTATGAACATAATGTTCACAGCATCCTTGAGGGGCAAACAGACTTAAGTTGACTGTCATAATTCAAAGATATGCATTGCAGTTCTGTATTTAAGAAGCCATCCCAATGGTATACAGTAGTTACACATGGGAATAAATTTATTGTACATTTGTTTATTGTTTGGAATATTATAATCAGTTGCCAGGCAACTGGATTTTTTGTATATTTAAATTGCTCCTGGGTGCCTGGGTGGCTCAGTAGGTTAAGCGTCTGCCTTCAGCTCAGATCGTGATCCCAGGGTCCTGAGATCGAGTCCTACGTCGAGGTCCCTGCTCAGCAGGGAGTCTACTTCTCCCACTCCCTCTCCCCTTCTCCCCCTCCCTCTCCCTCTCCCCTTCTCCCCCTCCCCCCTGCTCATGCTCTCTCTCTCTCAAATAAATAAATAAAATCTAAAAGAATTAAAAATAAAAATAAATTGCTCCTATGATAGTTGCTTTAAAAATCAATGGTTATATTGATTACATCTCTACTACACAAATTTCACCCAATTTGCAGTGATATATATATTTCTCTTTCATAATCTCCATAGTAATACTCATTGGGATTTTTAAATGATCATCTTATTTCCAGTCATATAATTTTACATGTAAATTGAAAGACTGGGCAAAGTAAATATGAGTAGGAAATTTAATGTTTGCATTTGGAGAGTTGTTAAAGTTTTTTTTTCTTCCTTACATGACTTCAGCTGTAATGGTTGACATTTCCCATTTTATAAGCTAACATGGAGATTAAGAAAGGTAATAACTAAGGTGAGCACATCCTTTAGTATCTAAGCCAGGATAGCTTTAGAGTAAAAGTAGATGCTATTAACATATAACACACAAAAACTAAAACTAACACACAAAAACTAAGACTGTTAGGATACATGGTCATCCTATTATAGTACTCATAATATAATTAATGTATTTTTGTTCACAAAACAAAGTTCCTAAATATGCTACACTCATCTATCACAATAATTCTAAATATTTTAAACATTAAAGTTTACCTCATTGGATTCATAGTGAGTTTTCACATCCAATTAGGATTGCTTATAAATTTTCTTCTGGTAGTCAATTAGACATGTTATCTCATATACACTGTCAGTTAATACATACAGGTAGCACTCTATACCAGGCACTGTTTCTAATGCTTTAGTTACATTAATTAATTTAATCTTTTCAACAATCCAGTGCTGAAGTATTATTATTAAGCCATTTTCCAGATGAGAAAACTAAAGTATTAAGTGACTGTTTGCTATGGTTCCACTGGACTAATCCATAATTTGAACCCAGGCTTTCTATTTACCCAAAGGTCTTTTTTTTTTTTTTTGTATCGAACTTTATTTACTCATCTTGTAGAATTGTTATAAGAATTTGGGGGGGGGGATACATAAGCCATCTACCATATAAAATTCATAGCATATGGCAGGTACTCAGATGGTGATGATGATGTTGATGATGATGATGATGATGACTGTGAATGACTTGACATAAATCATTCTAACTCAGACTCTATTGATTCTAAAAGGGCAATTAGTTCGAAATAAGATACTAATCTTGGTCAGACCTATGCCAAAAGCACTTTGGCAGGTGATTTCATTATTTAAGTTCTTCATTTACAATGCTACTCCCAAAAGACTGACTGAATGACTGATTTTTTATTTAAATTCTATCAATTAACATACAACATATAATTAGGTTCAGAGGTAGAGGTCAGTGATTCATGAGCACCCAGTGCTCATTACATCACACGTCCTCCTTAATGTCCATCACCCAATTACCCCATTCCCACCCCTCCCCTCCAGCAACCTTCAGTTTGTGTCCTATGATTAAGAGTCTCTTATGGTTTGTCTCCCTCTCTGACATCCATCTGGTTTTATTTTTTCCTTTCTTCCCCTATGATCTTCTGTTTTGCTTCTTAGATTCCACATATGAGTGAGATCATATAATTGTCTTTCTCTGATTGACTTATTTCACTTAGCATAATACCCCCTAGTTCCATCTACATCATTGCAAATTGCAAGATTTCATTTTTTGAAGGCTGAGTAGTATTCCATCACACACACACACACATATATACACACACCACATCTTCTTTATCCATTCATCTGTCGAAGGACATCTGGGCTCTTTCCATAGTTTGGCTATTATGGACATCGTTGCTATAAACACTGGGGTGCAGGTGCCCCTTCAGATCACTACATTTGTATCATTGGGGTAAATACCCAGTAGTGCAACTGCTGGGTCACAGGGTAGCTCTATTTTCAACTTTTTGAGGAATTTCCATACTGTCATCCAGAGTGGCTGCATAGGCTTGCATTCCCACCAACAGTGTAAGAGGGTTGCACTTTCTCTGAATCCTCACCAACATCTGTTGTTTCTAGTCTTGTTAATTTTAGCCATTCTGACTGGTGTGAGGTGCTATCTCATTGTGGTTTTGATTTGTATTTCCCTGATGCCGAGTGATGTGGGCATTTTTTCCATGTGTCTGTTGGCCATCTGTAGGTCTTCTTTGCAGAAATGTCTTGTTCCTGTCTTCTCCCATTTTTTGATTGGATTATTTGTTCTTTGGGTGTTGAGTTTGATAAGTTCTTTATAGATTTTAGATACTAGCCCTTTGTCTGACAAGACATTTGCAAATATCTTCTCCCATTCTATCAGTTGTCTTTTAGTTTTGTTGACTGTTTCCTTTGCTGTGAGAAAGCTTTTTATCTTGATGAAGTCCCAGTAGTTCATTTTTGCCTTTGTTTCCCTTGCCTTTGGAAATATGTATAGAAAGAAGTTGCTATGGCCGAAGTCAAAGAGGTTGCTGCTTGTATTCTCCTCCAGGATTTTGATAGATTTCTGTCTCACATTTAGGTCTTTCATTCATTTTGAATCTATTTTTGTGTATGATGTAAGGAAATTGTTCAGTTTCATACTCCTGCATGTGGCTGTCCAATTTTCCCAACACCATTTGTTGAAGAGACTGTCTTTGTTCCATTGGACATTCTTTCCTGCTTTGTCAAAGATAAGTTGACCATAGAGTTGAGGGTCCATTTCTGGGCTCTCTATTCTGTTCCATTGATCTATGTGTCTGTTTTTGTGCCAATACCACACTGTAATGATGATTACAGCTTTGTAATAAAGCTTGAAGTCCGGCATTGTGATGCCACCAGCTTTGCTTTTCTTTTTCAACATTCCTTTTGCTATTTGAGTCTTTTCTGGTTCCATACATTTTTAGGATTATTTTTTGCAACTCTGTGAAAAATGTCAATGGTATTTTGATAGGGATTGCACTTAAATGTAGATTGCTCTAGGTGGTATAGGCATTCTTTGTTTCTTCCTCAATTTCTTTCATGAGTGTTCTATACTTTTCTGAGTACATATCCTTTGCCTCTTTAGTTAGGTTTATTCCCAGGTACCTTGTGGTTTTTGGTATAACTGTAAATGGGATCAATTCCTCAATTTCTTTTGCTTCTTATTGTTAGTGTATAGAAATGCAACAAATTTCTGTGCATTGATTTTATATCCTGCCAATTTGCTTAATGCCTGTATGAATTCTAACAATTTTGGGATGGAGCATTTTAGGTTTTCTACACAGAGTATCATGTCATCTGAGAAGAGTGAGAGTTTGACTTCTTTGCTGATTTGGATGCCTTTTATTTCTTTTTGTTGTCTGATAACTGAGGCAAGGATTCCTAGTACTATGTCGAACAACAGTGGTAAGAGTGAACATCACTGCTGTGTTCCTGACCTTAGGGGAAAAGATCTCAGTTTTTCCCCACTGAGAATGACATTCACTGTGGGCTTTTCATAGATGGCTTTATGATATTGAGGTATGTTCCCTCTCTCCCTACACTGTGAAGAGTTTTAATCAAGAAACAATGC